GTTATTTCCTAGCACAAGAGCCTTGGCAGATCTGTCCATTTCCTATCAAGTTCAGTCCAAGATCCTCATCAGTGCTGCATTAAAGGCTCTTCATGACCTGTCTGCACTTAATTCCCACTCCCCTCCTTCCCCAAGCCAACACAGCAGCCAAACTGAACTATTTAGGTGCTGCTTTGTCTGTCACTGTCTTCAGCCTTATCTTTGCTAGTAGGTTTCATTCCTGGTATTGGTCGCCTCTTCGTCTCTGTGAGTTCAATATCTAATCATTCTTCAAATCCAGTTAAAAGATCACCTCCTCTATTATCACCTAACATATTCCCCATGCAGTCCCCTCACCATCCCCTCTCCACAGGCTCCTGCCCCAGATCATAAACCATCTCTTCTTCCACTGAATTCCCAAAGCTCTTCTTTCTTTTACAAAATAATCATTTTCTGCCTTATACTGTAGTTATGTTTTTTACATGCCTGTTTCCCTAAAACTACTTTAAGTACTGAAAGGGCAAGGGCTGAAATCTTGCTCATCCTATATCCCCTGTGGTGCCTCATAATATTTAAGTTTAAGCTCCATTGCTAGTTTCTACTAATATTGAACTCTATGACCCTGAGCACACCATTTAACCTGTTTGAGTCAATCTGTTCATAAAAGAAAACACAAAGTTCTCATTCAACAGTCTTAATTTGAGATGGTTTAAATTACATATTTCTGGAGCTGCACAAGACTTGAAAGCACATACCAAAACAAAGATTTCGGCATGACCTCTACAAAACTTACAATGATGGCTGCTCTGGTGAAATTTTTCTACTGGTGAATTCTTGCAATTATTTTTTCCTGGCTTACGTGAGTCACTATAGAGTGGGGTGGCTGTGGCCTCTCTGGCTATCACTGCTACATCAGGTATCAGTGGCATAATCCACTCCTCAGCTTTCAATTACTGTATCATTACTGTGCGTTAGCAGGGAATCACTCATTCAATCATTTATTCCATGAATATTTATTGAGTATGCATTAACCAGGCATTTTTCCAGGTGATGGGCTCTCAATTTTAGTGCATGTAAGAGGAAAAGAGAGAACACCTTGCGTAACCAAGGAGGATTTTTTCAATTTTAACTGTTCTATACAACCTCTCTCCCTCGTTAGTATATTATGAAGATTTAGACCACCTATGTTATGCTAAGACTCAAAGCAAACTTTCCCGTTATTAATGTTTCCTAAACTCAAAAAAAAAGGCTATTTTTTTTTTGTTTGTCCAGATAATGTAGGGCAGCTAGTGCAAAGTGCTTCCACTCAATCCTTCTAAAGATAATACACTGGAAACATTTTGGTGGGTGTGAATCACTCTAACGAGCATTCTTAACTCAAAAATAGAAACTTGCCTTATTTGTTCCAGATGTTATACAGCTGCAGGGAAGTTAAAGCCAGTGGTCCTGTTTTGAATGCAACCAAACTCTTATTGCATTTGGAATTTTTTTAACCAATGAACACATATTACTTGTTCTAAGACCTGCACAATTTTCTTTTTTTCCACTGTTACCATTCACAAACAACTATGTTTCCTGGGAACTACACTTCAGAATTAATGAGTCTACATCTGTGTTGTACAAAGGAAACACATCCTGTTTATCACTGTTTCTACCTTTCATTTATCTTGATCTCTTTAATTTTTTCTATATAGTAGCAGTAAATAATTAGAAACTCAAATTATTTATTATTTTTGCTTGAATTTTTAAAAATTGAATTTATTGGGGTGACACTTGCTAATAAAATTATATAGGTTTCAGGTGTACAATTCTATAACACATCATCTGTATGTTGCATTGTATGTTCACCACCCCAAGTCAAGTCTCCTTCCATCACCATTTACCCCACTTTCCCCTTTTCTATCTCCCTCCACCCCCCCTTTTCTCTCTGGCGATCAATCACCATACTATTGTCTGTGTCTAGGAGGTTTTTTGTTTTTGTTTTTTTTGCTTAATCCTTTCACCTTTTTCACCTAGGCCCCCCCAAGGCCCCTCCCCTCTGACAACTGTCAGTTTGTTCTCTGTATTCATGAGTCTGGTTCTATTTTGTTTGTTAGTTTATTTTGTTCATTAGATTCCACATATAAGTGAAATCGTATGGTACTTGACCGCTTTAATTTTAAGCATAAAAATATTTCAAAGAGAATATCTGAAGGAAAGGAAAAGGAGAGTTGAACTGTATTGTTCTTACAATATTTTAGAGCACCTTAACTGCGAAGTTATAAGAAGGTGTGTATCTTAGGAAGAATTTCGAGCAAAATTATTGAGAAAAATATTGAATTTAAAAATGTAATTCTTATCATTGTGCACTAGTAGTTTTAAAAACTTGATATTTTAGCTAATTTATGATTTTCTTGTAGGTCTGTACAAGATGCTATGTAGATGCATAAAATACAAAAGGATCATGGCTCTTTGAAGAAAGTGAAGAGTTAAAAAATTATGTAGGAAATATACATGTTAATTTTACATATAACCATAAAAATTAGAATATATACATTATATTTTGTTTGAGAACACTTATGTTTGAGAACAGAGTTTCAAATCTCTTGAGATTACTGTCTTTTTTATGGAGAAGATTTTCTCAACTTGTGGTTCAAGGACAATCTGCAGCAGAATCACACTGGCTGCTTAGGAGCCCAGTTGAGTCAGAATCTCTGTGAATTGGGCCTGGGGCTGTAGAGGGACCCCAGAGATCAGAAAACAATAACAGCAACACTTTCATCTTCCAGTTGGCCCAGGGAGGTTAAATCAATTTCCCACGGCCATGCTGCCAGTTAAAGTAAGACCTAGAACTTTGTTTACTGATGCTGAGACTAGCATTCTTTTCCAGTAAGTCACCTATTGTTATTTTCAAAAGGTAAAATTTAAAGAAATATGTAAGTATCCAAATATTATCAGGTGTCCCACCCAATAATTCTCTACTCTTACCACTAATGAACGAAATCCTTGTTCTTTCCCTAGGATTTAGAAATACCTTTCCTTCAGACTCATGAATCTGAATTATAATAAAAATCTTCCAGAAATAAAGAGGAACATGCTACATTTCAGGAATTGTTGACTAAATCTTTGACATTTCGTGGTTGATTATTTTGGAAGTGAGTGTTTTAAAGTTATTTGAACCATGTTCAAGGAACAGTTGCATTCAATAACGATCCCACAAAGACACAGAAACTATAATTCATGACATACGTTCTTGAAGTATGTATGTGCCATTAGTTAAAATAGAGACCTAAAATAGTTCAAGTGCGATGTCGTTCAAAACTGATTCACAAATTTGTTTCACACATCTTAATGAAGCTCTTAATAATTTTATATCTTTTTAATGTATATAGTTTAGCTTTGTAAAAGAAAAAGGCTCTGTAAATGCTGCTTATTAAGTTTCCTGTACTTTGCCTCAACTGATAACATTTTGACACCCATTTTTGATAGTAAAGAGGCACCATTAGGGAGACAACATGCTGATAAACTTCCTTAATGTTAACAGATTTATAATAAATATGGCCCTAAAGATTTTCAGATCTAGTCCTTCATTTTACTAATGAGAAATGTGAGGCCAAATAAAAAAAAGAGTAATGCTCTTTTGAAGGAGATAGTGACAGAAACTGGTACCCAAACCTCTCCTTCCTTCCCCAGAAGTCCTGATCCCAGCTGAGCGTATGGCCATCTGAGTCAAGGTTACATTTTCCAGTCTTCCGTGTAGCTCGATGTGGCCATCTGACTAAGCTTTTGCCATGGAACTTATGTGGACGTTTGTGTGGTAGTTTTCAGGAAGATTCCTTAAAAGGGAGTGAGAGCTGGTCCTTTGCACCCCCTGAGTTCCCTCCATGACTTCCATGTGGAATGTGGTTGTTTTGGCTGAAGATCTACTTTGCCCCAGGAGGATCAGGACCAGTCTGGCCCAGATGACTGTGGAGCTGTCGTTCCAACTTTGGACTCAGAGTATCTACACTCACACATGGGAAAGAAAGAAGCTTCTGTTTAAGTCACTGTCTTGGGGTTTCTGATATTTGGAGCAGCTATCTGATAATAGACAATAACCCATTTCTTATCGTAGAATTTCATTTATTCATTCTTTGAGCACATAGTTATTGAGCACTTTCTACGAGCAAGAAACTCTACTAAGTAGATATGAAACAAAAATAATTTTATTTTTTATTTTGAATTTCTAAAAAGTTTTGGAAAAGTTTTAGAACCAGATTCCTCTGTTCCTTGGTCCATCCTTGCCCCTATCCCAGGCATATCATGTAAGTTTTATTTCTTTCAAGATGAAGGAATGGTTTTCTTTACTTTGAATTTTAGACTGATGCAGTTATGTGAGTAACATATTTCAAATGTTAAAAAAGCCTAAGCAAATCAAGCACACATGACTTTTAAGTAAAGCTTTAAACTTCACCCCCAAATATATGACAAGTCATGATTAAAATTGTGATGCAAATACAGTCTTTGAAATATGTAAGATATAAATATTTATACTTAAACAAATTCAAACTATCATGAGATGAATACTTAAAATATTGAAATAAAATATCTTTTCTAAGTTCACATTTAGAAATACACTAAGGACCATGCTGTTTCAGTGTTAGTTACATATAAAAAGGGGTATTAGAACTCTGGGACATATGTGAGGTGAGAGTCTTCCTTCCTTAAATGACTCATCTCCACATTTAAAGCAAAAAGCGATCCGATCTGCAGAATCAGATCAAACAAATACATTGCCCACTGGCTCCCTGATCTCATTATGTTGGTAGGCATGGTGAAGTGTTCCCATTTGTGGTCTCTATTTAACCCCTCCCCTAGCCAAGCTCTTCTTTATTGATTTCTGATAATTTATTGTGTTTTTTTAAAGAATAGTACATGTTCTAAGTTTCAACATAGTTTTCATTTCTAGATTTAAAAATTTAAGACTGTCAAATATTCAATAAGATTTTGAATAATGGTAGAAATACAATAACATTTGGAGATAAATATAAAAGCAGACTTACTTTTGGGTCCACATTGAGAATTTTTCTGTCTCTTTTGTATTTGAAAAGCAAGCCTTCTGGATTATCAGCAATCACCTGATAATTGGGAGTTGAATTCCAAACAGCAATTTGACTGTCCCAGTTGTAAAAGCTATGAAAATAAATATTTATTAGAAATTCATATGTATCATATTAAATTGACAAATATATTTCAGAAAATATTTAGGAAGCTCAGTTTCAAGATAAGTGGATCACATCATAGTCTGTATAACCATGTAGATCACATGTGCTTAAAATTCTTGCAGAAGAATTTAGGCTGGGTTATTCTCAAATCATTTACATAGTTCTCAAATCAGATACATATTTATGGATATTTTGCATGATTTCCTGGTTTGGACGCTCTAAGATCTAGGGTCTATTCCAGTACACTATTATATTCCCAGGAAGCCAAGAGGAAAATTGATGCAATTTAGAGCTATTTCTTCCAGCTTAGTCTCTTCAGGGTATTAAGAATATTCAGGGTATTAAGAGACTGTTTACCGGAAGAAAAGGCAAGCTAAGTCACCTCTTTTCATTCAAAACAAATTAATTCACTTCTTTCAGGCTCTATTTTTTCAATAATATATTTCCCAGGGAGTGAGGAAACAATTTGCATCTGATAGGTTACCGTCGGCCAGGCACCATGTGCTGTGTTGGACCACAACCCGTGTGAAGTTCTCATTTCACAGACAAGGCAAGTAGACTAGGGGAGGTCAAGTAGCATAGTTAAGGCCCTGAAACTAATATGCCATAAACTAATATTTCAACCCGGATCTGTGATTTTCAAAGTACACATGTACTCTTTCTAATGTTCAACATTGCCTGCAGTTAACGTGTTTGCTGTTGCTGTTGTCGATCTGTGGAAACTTTCTATTTTCACCATGCCTTGTTTTACACCTACTTGTCAAAAATGAGTATAATACTGTCATGTGAGTTGGAAGAATCCTCCAAATACTTACATGTCTTATTCCTGTTAACACATTTCTAATATTATGCTAATACATTCAATATTAACACATTCCTAGTATGTCTAATAGTAACCTCCTTCTGAGTTGTTTTGCCCTCTATTACGTCCCTTCTTCATTTTGAGAGGGTAGAGTTTTTGGATTAAATTCACTCAATTACATTGTTTTCTGAGGCATCAACTTTTGTGCTATTACCTAAAAGTGTAATGTTTACCCTCGAATTGTCAATCCTCAGAAGGGATTGGTTACACAGATCACATGTTTATGTCTTTAGAGGGCACGTTCGCGGTGCCTGTTCTCTCCCGCGCTCCTCTCCCCTTTCTACGCCCAGGACACGGCAGTGCCCGCCTCCCTGAGCCGCGAGCCAGGAAAGGCGGTTTTCTGACCATGCTTACCCGCTCAGTCCCGGAGAGTGCGGGGATGACTATGTGACTGGTGAACCGTGGAAAGGAGTTGACGCTCATGATTTTGGGGGTTTTCACTTTCGCCAGCCTTCATAAGTGAGATATATCACGGCAGGCCCAGCCTCCAGTGGGGAGAAGGCACAGAGCAGGCTGTAGTGTCGGTGATAAATTCAAATCACTGCTGAAGGTATTAGGAGCAGGCTTGATTTTGCACCCAAGCTGGATTCTTGAATTCAGTTTAATCCATAACAAAGAAAATCATTTGAACCCCCATTTTACTGGCTGTTCAGTTAGGGGTGCGCTAAATTGGAATAGGAAACATGGGTGTGATTCTAAACCTTACATGTAAGTCTCTCTAAATAATTATTTATGAGATGTATAGATATAAATAATCCCAGTAAAGTGCTTGAGTCACAGCTATGCTTGGAAGTGGCATGGCTTATATCAGACATTCCTATCTTGTTGCTCAGACCTCAGATTAAAAGCCTGTTAAAGTCCAAGCAGCCCTCGTGTGTGTGTGTGTGTGTGTGTTCATTACATAAAAAAGCTAATTTGCAGAGCACATGGTACTTTTGATTATGCAAATTGGATTGTTTATGGATACTTTCATTCTTCTGGTAGGGATGGGAAACAGATTTCATTTCAAAAGTCAATTCAAATAGCTAATAATTATCAGTATTAATAAAGATAACTAACATTTACTTAATAATTACCATGTGCTGGTTTCTGTTCTGAGCCTAATGAATCTATTATCTCATTTAATTTTATCATCAACCCCAGGAAGTAAGTATACAACTATCCCACTTCAGACATGCAGAGCTCAAGTGACCCTGAAGTGTGCTTGCAGATGAAAATGAGAGACTACATTTGAGAAGATACTAATAAGTGGACTTAATGGTTAAGAGAGAAGTCAATGAGAGGAGTATAGGATTTCTCTCCGATTTCTGGTTTGGATTCTTTAGTGATTGCATTTATTTGCTGGGATATGAAATAGAAGAGAAGGAACAGGTTGCAGGAGGTGAGGGGGGTGGGGTTCAGTTTTGGACATGTTGAAACTGAAATCCCTGTGAAATTTCCGAGACAATGAAAGCGAGGATCTCTGCGTTGTTTACTGCTCTCTTTCCAGTACCTCCTCTGAACCCATGCCTGACACGTAGCAGATCATGAATGCATCTTAATTGAATAAATAGATAATGGATGAATTTCTGAACTTTAGAGAGGTTTTTAAGTTGAAGCAATAGATCTGGAAGTATCAGCGGTGCTTAAATTCAAAGAGGTGGCTGAGATGGACAGGACGAAATCTGGGAGCACCGATTTTACAGGGATGGAAGAGGGATTAGCAAAATGAGCAAAAAACAGTGATCTAAAGCCTCACAAAACCCAGGAGAGAGTTATTTTGCTGTAAAACTGAAGAGAGGCGGATATATCCAGAAAGAGCACTTAAGAAAGGCAACAGTGCCAAATGCTGCGTGAACGAGAGAAGGTAGGAAGAGTCCGTGACGTTTTGCACTTGGAAGGATATCACAGGGACAGCAGTGGCAGTGGGGTGGCAGGGACAAAATTCAGGGTATAGGGAAGTCACGGGGCGATGAGACAATATTACCGAATGAAAATAATTCCTTTAACAGTTTAGCTGTGAAGAAAACAAGGACAGCTCTAGAGAGAGATATGAAAAATTAGGGGACAGGGTTTTTTTTAAAAATTGAATAATGTCAAGTATATTTTCATAGTGTGAAGAGGCAAAGTAGAGAATACAGGACCCTAAAGAGGCAGGAGCTATAAAAAGGGCTTTGTAATAAAACTTTATATATGAAATGTATTTAATATGAAACAGCACTATTTCTTTATCTGTGTAGACTTACTCTGTTTTAGTAAGAGCTTTGCATATTACTTATTATCATTTCTCTTATATGGATGAGGAATCTGAAGTTGAGAGAAGATACTAAAGATTTTTAAGTTTACATTTAGTAAGTACTAGAATACAGTCTCAAACCCAGACTATAAAATATGAAACAAGTGCTCTGTAAATTTTAAAAATTTTATTGTGGTAAGATCACAACAGGAGATTGGACTTAACAAAATTTTAAGTGTACAACACATTATTATTGACTGTAGGTACTAATGTCGTACAGCAGATCTCTATGACTTGTTCATCTGGCTGAGCTGAAACTGTATGTCCATTCACTCCCTAATTTTCCCTCACCCCAGCCCCGGGTAACCACTATTCCACTCTTTGATTCTATGAATTTGACTATATTAGATACCTCATGTAAATGAAATCAAACAATATTTGTTTTTCCATGATTGGCTTATTTCACTTTGCGTAATATCCTCAAGGTTCATCCATGTTGCCCCATATTGCAGAATTTCCATCTTTGAAAGGCTGAATAAATGTTCCATTGTATGTGTACACCACATTTTCTTTATCCAGTCATCTGTCAATGGACACTTAGGTAATTTCCATATCTTGCCTACTGTAAATAATTTCTTGTAGGCCACATATAGTTGAGTGTGTTTTTAATATTATTATTCATCCATCCAACTCCATGATTTTAGATTGAGGAGTTTAATCCATTTACACATAAAGTAATTATTGATAGGAAAGGATTTTACTCTTGGCTTTTATTGTTTTCCATTAGCCTTGAAATTCTTTTGTCTGCCTTTGCCTCTCTTACTGTCTTCCTTTGTGTTTTGATTTTTTTACTGATATGGTTTGAATAGTTTCTTATTCTTTTGTGTATGTGCCATAAGCATTTTTTTTTTTTGTGGTTACCTTGGGGTTCACATAAAATATCTTATAGTTTTAACAATAAATTTTAAGCAGATAATAACTTAAATTCAATCACACACAACTGTACACTTTAACTTCTCCCCCATATAGTTTATGTTATTGTTGTCACAATTTACATCTATTCGTACTATGTATCTTTTAATGTATTTTAGTTATAGTTATTTTAAAACTTTTGTCTTTTAACTTATAGTAGAATTAAAAGTGATTTACCCACTACATTACAGGAATACAATACTCCGTATTTGTTTAAATATTTACCTTTATCAATGTTTCACATTTTCTTATGCTACCATGTTTATCTTTAGCATCCTTTCATTTCAACTTAAAGAACTCCCTTTAGCATTTCTTGAAAGGCAAGTCTAGTAATGATGAACTCTCTCAGCTTTTCTGTTTTGGGAAATTATCTCTTCTTCATTTTTGAAGGGCAATTTTGCTGAGTGTAGCATTCTTGGTTGGTAACTTTTCTTTCAGCACTGTGACTATATCACTCTACTCCTTTCTGGCCTGCAAGATTCTTCTAAAAATCTGCTTATTGTCTTATTAGTATGTCCTGTGGATATGACAAATTACTTTTATCCTGTTTCTTTCAAAATTTTCCATTTGCCCTTGACTTTTGTGAAGTTGATTATTATATGTCTTGATGTAGATTCTTTGGGGATTTATTGAAGTGGAATCCCATAAACTTCTTAGATCTGGATGTTCATTTCCTTTTTCAGATTTGGGAAGTTTTTGGCTATTATTTCTTTGAATAAGTTTTCTGGTCTTTTATCTCTCTCTTCTTCTGGGAATCCCATAATGTGTATATTGATCCCTTAATGATGTCCTATAGGTCCCTTAAATTTTCTTCACTCTTTTTCATTCTGTTTTCTTTTTGTTCCTCTGACTTATTTCCAATGACCTGTCTTTGAGTTTACTGATCATTTCTTCTGCTTAATCTAGTCTGATATTGAGA